CAGCTTTACAATTAGCAGGCTTATTCTAGCTTAATAATCAATAACTGCTCACTTATTTGGAAATACAAACTTTACATCTCTTAGATCCCTAGATTAATCAATGCACAATGGTATTGTCGCACTGTTGCAGTGGATCATAATAGGTAGGTGGCAAGTGGGATTTCTCTGCATCCGAAGCAAGATGAGGATCACACCAAGCTGGCAGCTCAACACTTCTTCGGACTTCTGTGCCTGCGTCATCATCATTGGGATAAGGAAACAGGTCCAGCCTTGCATCAACCTGTGAGGCCATCACCGGATTCAAGGGGCCATAGGCAGGCAACACTACCTCATCTACAGGACCATCTGGCTGTTTCTTGAGCTCTTCAATGTCTCTCTTCAGATTCTCATTTCGTTGCACCAGAACCTTGCGTCGCTGCAGCTGTCGTTCAGTCTCTGCTGCTAGGAATTTCAGAATCACCCGTTTCTCCTCATCGGTGGTATTCTTAATTCTGCTCTCTTCCATGACTGCACAAACCATTCCCACACGCAAGTCGCCGCACTTGACCACATGACCATAGTATCTGCAACGCATATCAAATGAGGTTTATACCAAAGAAAGGAGAAAGGCAGTAGCTTGAGTTAGTACAACGCAAATTGCCCGTAAGCACCACAAGGCTTCTATTCTGTTGTGGCCTACCTGGCAGCCCCTGCCATGCCATATTTCTTGCATATGTCCTCAGGAATGTCAAACTGTGCAAAATCTTCATTGCTACCCAAAATCACAGATCGGCAAACCGAAATGTCATTCTCTCCGTCAATATGATGCCGAGTTGCTTGGATATCTCCGTCAGGGCTATAAAAGGAAAGACATAGACTGTTGTGGCCGGCAGATTGAGTACTGACCAAATTGACTGCCCCAAAGTTTCCATTGAGATCTTCAAGGGCACGGTTAGCCACCTTTTGATAGGGCTCAAGCTCTTTGGATTCTACGGTCAAGCCATGGTCTTCTTCCTGTAGTTCCAGTTCTTCTAGAACCCTCACTACTTCGTCCGATGGAAAAAGCTTATCACTAGAAGAAGACTCACTGGCTGCTGTCAGGTCCCCCATGGACGATGTCCCAGTTGCAACAGTTTGGGTCTCAATCTCTCGTCCCTTGTGAATGTCTCCTTCTTCATCACTACTAGAATGTTCCAGTTTGTTCCTCTCTTTTACGAGAGCAGAGGCTTTCTTGGCTTTTCTCCATTCCTTGAGTAGAACCCGTTGATGGAGAAAGTTCGTGATCTCAAGACATTCCAGTGTTTCCTTAACCTCAGCATCATCTTCCAGCGTGGCCAGCAGTTCTCCATCCACGGCATTCTCGACAATGGCATCTCCGTAGCCTTGGTACTTGATGCCCAAGCTAACCACAAAAGAGCTGATGTCATCCAATGATATCTCCTCCAAAGGGGAGGATGCTAACTTGGATTGAGAGCTTCCCATCTTCAGCTTGGTCTCTTCAAGTAGATCTAATAACCCGACGAGTTTTGCTCGGCGCTCTTCTTCTTGGAATGGCACACCGCAGTTTCGGCCTCGAGGTTCCTCCATTCGTTGCTCGGACAACTTCGAAATGCTCTTGGGCTGGAAGCTTTGGGTGGGTCATGACTGAAGTCCACCTGTAAAAGTAGGTGTCTTAAAGATCTAGAGTCTTGGCATCACATCATCTGCTCCAGAAAGAGGGCCTAATTAGATTTTTAAAATACATTCATGTCGACTTTGGTAGATTACTGTACTCTGGAGTACTCAGTGGTAAAATCGAACAGCGATGGAACCAAAATGCGGGGCTCACTGCCATAATGGTCACTGAAAGTGCTTACACTGAAACATTAGGGTGTTCGATACGCTTCCAAGGAATCGACCACAAACCACAAACCACAAACCAGCACAAAGAAACTGGCGAACCATCGAATCGAATCGCAATTTGCCTGACGTGTACTAGTATTGGTAATTGGTACCACCACCGTACCAGCTCGTGTACGTGTACCGCTGCCAGTATTCACCACCTCAGAAGACCTTATTCTTTGTTTGTTGGCGTTCCACGTGCATTCATTGCCTGGGTCCTTGGTGCTAACCCGAAAGAAGCTCGGTTGGGTTGGGTTGGGCGCATGGTTAAGATATACCGTACGGTACGGTAGGGGTGGTTGCGTCGTTCTCAGGTGGAGTTGGCTGTTGGCTGTTTGCAGTCGGCAGCCATACCGTAGAATCGGGAAAGGTTCTGAAGATTCGATTCCAACGAGGAACCCGCTTTTGTTGGGCGTCTTGGGCGGATGAGAAAGCCACGAGGATGATCTTAAAGCCACGAGAATTACGGTCGCAGACTTCCACAACTTGATTGGTTTCAGCGTTGTGGCTGAGCCCAGGTGCCAGGTATCGTCGATACGTTTCGACAATCCGAGCCGATTCTGGGACATAGGTACTACCGCCCAAAGCTGAGACTTCCAAATCGCCAGATCCATTCGAAAGGCAAAACTATTGGTACGGAGTTGAAGGCTTGACATCGGTTACCCCTTTTGAGTTGGGATAGTCGAAGCTTTCACACGAATGTTGCCGCTTCTTTCAACTTTCAACCCATCCTAAAACGACAAAAACTATGCTGGCCATGCTCCAACGGTACACATAGTGCCCTTTGGTATCAACGGCACCTCCCTTATGCCAGAAAGAACTGTGGTCGGGATGGAGGGATGAACGTGGGATTTGTCGCCGCAAAGGCCGTTTCCAGAGATTGCCAAGAGGATCCTGTTGCGGTTCTTTTTGCTGATTGTGGCATCTCTATGAGAGTTAGACTCATTGAACCCATCGACTGCGAGTTTTCGTCGCTCCTGGCTAGGATAAGGTAGTTGTCTACACCATTCAGGATATCAATCCTCAATAACGTAGGTGCACAACTAGTCAAAGTGCTGCAGAAACGGAGGAGGACGGGGGCAACCGAGACGTCGTTGCCGGACTTCATAAATATTGGTCGCAGAACCACATGCTTGTTGCTTGCTTCGTTACATCCTCCCGCACGCGTCCACCGCTGCAACTCAAGTTTAGAGCGACGCCTCTAAGGAGATCGTTAGCTCAGGTTGTCGGAGCAGACACTTGCAAGGCGGCTACCAGCATCCGATGGTGCCGAAATTGTCTCGTGAACGAATGCTCAAGCTACCGAAGAGGCAGAGACAAAGCAGAACACAAAGATCAAATGAATAGCTACAAAGAAGCGATTGGCCAGCTAGCGGCAGGGTGTGCACTTGGCAATGCCGCTATATGCACGTGAGCCAGGGAATGATATTTGCTCTTATCCTCATCACTAAAGCTTTCTCTGTTTGTTGGACAAGAACTGATCATACCAACTATTGCAACCATGGCACTTGTAAAGTGCAAAATCCTCTGGAACACCCTTCAACGACCACACACCCAGAAAGTCAAGCATGTAACCATTGGAAAGTGGCATCAAGTTGCATTCATCAAGATCAGCAGCCTCTTTCCCCAAGTAAACACACCCAGGGGCAGCTGCAGCCGCAACACGAGAGGCCCTGTTGACCACTTTCCCAAAATAGTCTGCTCGTCCTGTGGTGGGGTGAGGACCCATGGATGTGAATTCACCTTCACAGACTCCCACCTTCACAAGATCTGGGTTGGTTGCTCCGCGTTTCCAGTGGGGTTCTTTTGCGGTGAGGCCAAGTAAGTTCTCATTCGTTCAGTAATTACTCCGAGTACATGCAGCTGTACTCGGAGTACATGCCCAGTCAGAGCGCCAACAAACCCGCCTTTAAATCATTGCGACAGCGCCTCCGCGTAGAAAGTTGGTGCGAAAGTAATAAGAATGTCTTCGGCGTCAAGTGAGACTTTAGATTGCTCATTACATAAGCGTAAAAGGCTCGTTAGTGGAGTATTCACGTCTTCACCAATTACATACAATGTCATGTACTTTACACCCATCAGCCCTCAGGCCTCAGGCTGTTTGCTGGAGCTGACCGGTTACACTCTCGAGCTTCTTCTCTCTATGGCCAGTGGCCAGCTGGCTCCGACTGCCCCTCTCTCGTTCTCATTCGATTACAGTAAAGTTTCCCTTTATTGTTGGATGGCTGGTCGGGCATAGTATCTCTTTTTCTGCAGGATTGCTTGCCGTGGAAACTGACCTGATTATTTTTATTTCTTGGTCTTGCTGATGTTGTTCTTTCAGCCAGCTAGCTAGTTTTCATCTATCTGTCATTTATTTTTGAAGTCAAGAACTACGTACTGGTAGATGGAGCAGTTCTGACAAATTCATCTCGACGGTTGGCTTGGCTTGGCTGCAGCAGACTACTTTTGGTTGGTTACAACTACTGTACTGTCTCTGTTCTTTCGAGAGCAAAGAGCCTTGGAAGAGCTCTTGGAAGAATGGAAATGCTACTACTGAGTAGTTAGAAAGGCAGTCTGTAGAACAAGAACAAAAGACACTTCTCCCGAATACGAAGCACACAATGTATTTACAACCGACTTGGGAGAAAGTCCGAAAGGCAAATGTGCAACCAACATTTTGCCTCCAATACCGTACGGTACCCAGAGCAATAACTATCAAATCCAAAGGCTTGCATCCATTCATTTTTCGTCTTACACAACTAACTTCGATCTCCACATCGACCAACTTCCCATTTTCTTCTTCTTTCTTTCCAAGGCAAGCTCCAAGGTCAGTTCAATTGAAACAAGCTCTACCACCATGTCCATGTCCTCGTTGGCGGCCCAATTGGCCGGTCTGAATGACTCTGGTGCTGGTAGCAATAAGAATAAGAAGAATGTTGGATCGATTCTTCCAACATCGACCCGCCACGACGATGCGGTTGGCCGAGGCGTGCATCATTCGGTGCATGTGGGCCATTCGCTCCACCAACTCCAGAGTCCCCGCTTTGCCCCATCGCTGCTCTACGACAATGCCAAGGCCGCGTCGGACATGCCACTGGAGATACTGTGGCAGAATTGCGATGCGGCATTGCAAGAATTATCGGACGAGTTGTTGTATCCACCCATACAAGTCTATCGATCCGTCTGTCAAGATTTGTTGTTGCGCCAACGACATCAAAAACACAAAAAGACGTCCTTGACGCACTTGTTGACCATTCTCAGTACACTGCTGCCGCAAGATGTCGTCAATTGTGGACACGTGCTGGAATATTTGGTGCGACGATACAATATTCACGTGGCAGCCGCCGATACACTGCTCATGATTCTATTGCCGCATTGCGACCATCCGGCATTGCAGACCATGTTTCATCGGGCTCTGGAATTGGTCAATATCATGGGAGACACACAACAACATTCCTGGATTTGGTTGCGACCGTATGCTTCTGCCAGTAGTAGTAGTAGCGTACCACCCCGCCAAGTCGTGGCTCACAATATCGTGGCCATCCTCCAACAAGTCTGTACATTTACCCAAACTGTGGCCAAACTACAACACGATAGTGATCATTCGGCATCCATCTTGTCCTGGAGTGCCACTGTGCTGGTGGAAGGATTGCATCATTTGCAGACCAAACAAACCATGCCCGCCACACAAGAATCCGTGTTAAGAGTCCTGTTGCCCTTTATTACCAAGGCGTGTGCTTCTGGCGGTACGCGAGATTGGACTCTGTGGGGTCATGTCGTGGCATCGGTCGTGACGGAAACCATGGAACTGGCACCGGCCGTCAAACAATTGTTGTGTCAGAGTATTTTGCAGGGCGCCGTTTCTACTAGTAGTAACCAGGTGTTGGGAGATGCCTTGGTGGCCATGACGGCCGTTTGTTTGCCACCCAATGCCATGATTCCCGATCCATGGAATGCCACCACCAAAACGTGGAAGGAATGTGTCGTCATGCCATTTCCGTCCGTATTGAAATCCATGTGGGATCAACTAGTGGTGGATACTGACAATTTTACAGCCGTGCTGGGAGAATTGCTCCAGGAACGACGATTGGATCGGTTGGGGGTTGGATTGATACTGCCCATGACCATTTGGGCCATCCTGACGGTACCCAAGAATGCCGAAACAGTCTTGTTGACATGGTTCCGTGATGAAACATTGCGCCATTGTTGTTGGAAGGAGTGGACCGAAGCCTTGTCGGAATGGCTCGTTTGGATGTTTGTACAAGATTGCATGAACGATGACGACAATAACAATAACAAGAAGAACGACAAACAACAACTCGCGCTGGTGCAGGCACTCCTCAAAGAACTGCGACGTGTCGATGCCAAAGCCTGTGAACAAGGAATGGCATTGGCGTTGCAAGATGCTGCCGATAACATGGAGGATTCCTCCGCACTGAGGGTGCTATTGGATGGGGTGATACCTTCTACTGGTAGTAACACCAAAACTCGCTCGCAAACATCGTCCTCTTCCTGGTTGCCACCTCGCGTGGCCCTCGAACATGCCGATGCTACCATTCGGGTGCAAGCGATCGAACAGCTCCTACAAGAATATACTACGGAACAAGAGGATGATGCCATGGATATTGACAATGACGACACGAAAGAATCGCTGCAAGTGGCACTCGGACGGCGTTTGGCGTCGGATGATCACCCCATGGTAGTCCTGGCAGCTGCCAAGGCGTTGCAGAGTATTGCCATTGATGACGACGACAATCATCGACAGACATTGGTAGAGAATGCACTGCAAGGATTGTATCAATGGACATCCTTCCAGAAGACTTCTTCCAAAAAGAAGAGGAAGGAAAAGAAGCACAAGAAGAAGAAGAAGGATCGCAAAGAGTCCTTGGATTCATCAGTAACAAGTAGTCAAGATGACGGCGAGACACAGGAGTCCATCATTGTGCAGATTCTTCAACTATTGGGAGCATCTTCGTCGTTGGATTCATCATCGCTGGTGCTGGAAGCATTGGTGGCCCATTTGGAGCATTGGAACCCAATTGTCGTGGCTGCCGCTGCCGATTCTCTCATTCAGTCGCTGGACGAGAAAAAGCGCAAGGCATCTACCGATAGCGACACTCTTGCGGATGCCAAGCGATTGGTTTTGCTCGAGCGCCACGAGTTTTGTGCGAGTCTTTTGGTTTCCGAACTAGAAGATCAATCAATGGATACGACGACTGCCACTGGACGCAACAACAACAAGATTGCCCAACAGAGTTTCCGACGTCGTAGTTTATGGGTGATGCTCCAAGCCATGGCGGAGTACGTCAAGGACCCGAGCACGAACGTTGTAGTGGAGAAAGTTAGTGAAATGGCTGCCCAGGCTTGCATATACTTGCTGTCATCCAACCCGGAGAAATTGGACAAATATCAAGCCCAAACAATGCAGGATGCTTGGGAAGTCAGTGCTCCACATATTGCCCAGACTCAGTATTCAAGAATGCTGGTTTCCTTGGCTTCATTGTCTGACTCGCAGGCGACGCTGCGAGATCGTTTGATACTACGGTTGGTCGAACAAGCAAAGGATCAGAAATCAACTTCTGTATCACCCTTCACCGTCCTCATGGAAGCTGCACTGCAGGAAGCAGCTTCAGCCAAGGCCATCAGACGGCTTCTCAGCGTTGTCACTGATACTTTTCTTTCTGACGACAAGAAGTCCAACGGGTCCTTTTGGCTATGCGTGGTACCAACGCTGGCGCTGATGGAACACTCCAATGAACTAGTGCGAGAGCAGGCTCTGAATCTCTTGTCGACTTTGGAAAAGCTGCTGCAAGCCTCGAAAAAGTGGGGAAGCTTGGCTGTCGTCTGCCAGAAAGTGTTGGAAAAGCGATCTTCTGCAGCCATGGGAGGAATCACCTTCTTGCCGTTGTCGCTGGCAGCTGCAGTGCGCAAAGCGGACGGCAACGCCCTTCGGAAGTGTCTCTTTTCCTTGTGTGTTGCTGCAACGGATGGATGCGGTTGCGACTTACCTCGTGACACAGCGAGTGGGTTGGAAGGAACATCATGGCTACCGTTTGGTCACTCGAATGGCCACATTGGGGCAGCTGTTTCGATGCTACGCGCCATGGAGCTTGCGGGGGAAGATGCATTCCCTTTAGAGGGACGCTGGAACCAATTTGGTGCTCCCATTTTGAAGCTTCTTCTAGACTTCAAGAATCTCGACGACAAGGAGATTCCACCTTCTGTTTCGCTCATGTGCGATTGTGTTGTTAGTATGCTGAAGGGCATCACAGTGGCTGATGCCAGTGCATTGGATAACGTAGTAATCTCAACTGGCCCGAGCTCGTCGGGCAGGCGACAACGCTCTTACTCGGTTGGAAAGGCGGATGGAGCAACATTCATCGACCCATACCCCAAACCAATGGTCACGGCCATTCTCAACATCATCGAGTCTGCCCGAAGGGATCAGACTCGCGCGACGCAATTCATCTGCGAAACGTTTGCCACCAAGGTCCTAGGGCGAGAATCATGGGCAACATCGGTGTTCAAAAGGTTTGCGAGTGACGAAAGACGAAGCATTGCTGGTGCAACGTTGCGCGTGTTGGCTGAAGCTGAATTGCACATTGATATGGCATATTTCCTGGGGCTCCCGTTAGATGCGGCCGACGTCACGCATCTTCAAGCCGAATGCGGAAAGAGAACTGATGGACTTGCGGCACTATCTATCCTGGCAGACTATGTCCGAGCAAACAGCGACACTCTGATGGCTTCAGCGCATGCGGCAAAGTTAGTGAAAGCTCTATTCGAGTCGCTTTCGACTCTTTCGGATGCAGAAGCTGTTGAAAGCGACAATGTTGAGTTTGTCAGGCAACTGACGCTCTCAGCGCTGGTGGACCTCCTGTCCAGCAGCGCTGCAGCCGACGGCAATTTGAAACTTACGGACAAGAAAGTCAAGGAGTTTGTGGATCTACTGCTTGCTTTGAATTCAAGTGCAACAACTGATGGCATTCGTCTGCTGGTCTCCCAAAGGGCGAAGGAAGCTTCTCTTTCGTTGCTGATGTCCTTGTGCTCCAACTTCCCGAAGCCTGTGGTGTCATCTCTCATCCCTGCAATGACATCCCAAATCGAAGCTGTTCAAAGCGCAGAAGAAGACGATGGTGCCGGAGAACAACTGCACAGCACTTTTGCTTCCATTGTACCGGTATTTTGGAAGTATGCTTCACATGCTGGCCTGTCGTTCTCTGATCTCCTTGGTGCCTTCGTCTTTTCTGCTCGCAACATTTCGAACCACCGGAAAAAGTCAAACGTTTATCTTTCTTTTGTACGCGCTGTCGCTGGGTGCTCCTTTGCTGGACAAGCTGACGCAACTGTCGGTGCGGTTGTTGCATGTTACTTCGCGGGCGAAGTGAATTCTTCGGTTGAAAAGGTCAAGGCAGACATGCCACCTGCTGTCTCATTTGCGCTGCAGCTGGCTGAGGAGGCACCCGCCACGTCGCAAGTTTCGTCATTAAACCTCCTTCTGCAATATGCAAATGGTCTTCTACGAATGCTGCAACGGTCCGCAGGAGAGTCCCCGGCGTCACATCCCAGCTCACATGTGCCGCCGGCTAGCGAGATTTTGAGTTTGGCGCTGTCGGGCTCAAAAACAAAAACAAAGCGGAGTCCCTCTCGGAAGTCCAGCCAAGAAGAACAGAAAAGTGTCATCATCATGACGCTGGTCCAAGGAATCCTAATGACAGTGAATGATGCAATGCTTCTAGAGACGGTCCGAAAATTCATCCGTCGAAGTGAACGCAGTCACACCGCTCTGTGCCTTCAGCTGTGGCAGGATATGCTGATAGTTCAATCCACAGCATCCATGACTGCGTCCGAGCTTGGAGAGGAAGACGCTGCCTACTGGGAGACTTTGATCCGCGTTATTGGCGAAGCGCTTGAGCAAGTCCAGGCTTTGATGCCGCTTCCAATATTCCTTGCTTCCGCCACTTCCCTCATTAAAGACGGGGAGACAGATGACCTCAGGGCGGGTGCTATACGGCTCGTTGCGGACAGGGCACCTGAAGTCCGCCCTGGATCTCCTGAGGCCTCGCTCTTCTTGGAAATGGCTTCTTTGCTACATGTAGTTGGATTCCTAAAGTCACCTGAAGTTCAGTCGAAAGGAGACGGGCAGTATCAGTTGCAACAAGCCGCTCTCGTTGCGATTGAACACATTGCGAGAGCAGCCGGTACTAATGCCGACAGTGACAAGAAACGGTCTACTGGTAGTGGTGGAATGAAGGTTTTCCTTTCGGCACTGCAGGGGTGCTCTGATCTATTCGTGAAGATTTGTGGCCCGGCGAAGAAGGCGAAGGTTGATATCGGTCAACTTGATGACCTGTCTCTCAAACTGTTGTCCAGTGCGGCATTGTGCACTGCTACGCTGGTGCGGGTCACGGCGCCCAAGTGTCTTGCCTTGCTACCCAAGTTCATGAATCAACTCGTTGCCTGCCTCTCTTCGTTGAACGGCTTCGTTTCATCGATTCAGAAAGACCAACAAGAGCTTGAAAGCGAAGCTAGAATGATGCAAGTCTGTTTGCTTCGGGGGCTGGCGGCGGTCGCGGAGAGTGTTCCTCAGTTCATCTACCCATACATGAAGCAATTGCTGGCACCATCCGCACTTCCATCCGGCGCACTGCACGGGAAAAATGTAGATTCAACGGTGGTCCTCGCTGCAAACACGCTGGAAAAGAGCCTTTCAAAGCATGTTCCAGCCCGGGTTCTGATTCCCGTGGTTGCCTCTTCGATGGCCAACCTCCAGGGCCCCGGAGAAGTGGAAGTTCTCTTGAGAATGCTCAAGCTGTCAGTGGAGGCGTCTCCTGGAGCGGAATTGGCCGGCCACTTGGGTTCGCTCCTCAAAGCAGTGACTGCGACATATGATTTTGATTGCGAGCTACGTCTCCGTTATGACTTGATCGATGGAGCGAACGAAGTTGTCCTCGCCCTTGTAATGAAACTTTCCGAGAACCACTTGCGCCGATTGTTTTCCAATTTGAGAGAATGGAAAGGTCAGCTTAGTGTCGATAGTCCGGAAGAGTTGGCCATCCGAAGAGTGGCTTTCTGGAAGGTTTCCGCAGTGCTGAGCAAGGAGCTACGAACGATTATCTTGCCTTGCTTAAGCACGGCGCTGCAAGAAGCCATGGACGAGCTGGTAAGTCCGTTATATGTTGGCTGAGGCTGAGTTTTGACCCTCGCTTGCTCACACGTTCCAACGTCCTTGTGGCCTTACTCGTCCTCGCCAGAACCTCTTTGTTTCCCAGTTTTGCTCGTCGAAGAAATCGGAGAAATCCAAAGACGGAACGAAGAAGCGCCGTCTTGACAGCGACGATGCTAAAGAAGAACCTTCTCCCTCATTCTCGTCCAATGCCATGTTGCCACTTCAACCTTTACTGTCATGCTTGGAGTTTGCGATTCGTGCCGATGCCCAAGACGGCGGCAAATGGATTCGTGCCGGGGACGACGGAGAACGCTACCGATCGCTATTGGATCCTTTGGGGAAACTCCTGCACGCCAAGTTGCCTGCAGACTTTCCTCTCGTGGCCTCTGGCGGTGATGCCGTAGGCAACCCTTTCCAAGAAGTTGTTCAAGGAGGGGACGATACCGTTGGAGCCAGTAGCAGTGGTCGAAGTACCGGGAGCGTACTTGGGTGTATGACGGCCTTGGCCAGTGCCGCTGGCAATGAGCAGTTGTGGAAACCGCTGAACTACGCGATTTTGGATGCCTGTGGTAGTCGAAGCCGAGCAGAGGTTCGCAAAGCTGGATTGTCCTGTTTGCTGTCGGTCATGAAATCGCTGGGCGAAGAGTACATGGTGCTGCTTCCAGAGTGCCTTCCGGTTTTGTCAGAGCTGTTGGAAGACAATGATGAAGAAGTTGCTGGATTGGCACAAGATTGTATCACACTAGGAGAAGACTTGCTGGGAGAAAGCCTAGAAGACAATCTACGATGAGCGGGCACGACGCGACGGGATTGTATTTAGTTGATGTTATAGATTAGTAACAAACATGCCAATCATGGAAGTGCTACAGTCAATGTTTGATTTTAAAGTTAGTTGCATTACTCCACCAATTCTCTGAACATGGCGACGACCTGCGCCAAGCTGAGCATTTTGCTGTCATCATTAGGGTCTTCTTCCGCAGCGGCGCGCTCATGAGGTAGTGGGGACCGGGTGTCTGCTTCCTCTTCCGACCAATCATCAAACTGGCCTTCGACAAAGCTTCTCTCGTCTTCGTCGGTCTCACCAGTATCCTCCGAGTCGTCATCGTCGCCCGAGGTAATGCTGGACCCAGATACAGAGGAAGCCGAAGGACTGATGTATGCAAATCCAGGGCGCAAGCTTGATCCTGCCGAATCTTCTCCTCCATCGTTTGTCACAATGGTGCCTTGCCACAGTTGCTTTGTTCCGAAGAGCGTCCCTTGTCCTCTGATGGTTTCCACCACCCCGTCAGTTGCCTTTTCCTGATGTAGTGAGGGTGATGTGGAGTTGGGAAAGACTTTCTTTTCGGCCACTTCCTCCAGCCCTTTCTTCGTGTCTTGCTTCCCTGCAGCCGGCTTCCTTTTCTTCATGTCTTGCTTTGCAGGAACCACCTTCCTCTTCTTCCTCGCCACTTCTGGATCACCCTCGACAGTTGCCCGGTGCTTCCTCTTGTTCTTCGCTCCTGGTTGCGGTTTCTTCTTGAGCTCTGGTAGATTCTTTAAATATGTCCTCTTCCTTGATTCCACTCCTCGTTGCTTCGTCTCCTGCATGGTGGGTTTGTCTTTGAGACGCCAAACAAATCCAATCGACTCCAAGGCGGCGGCGCGATGCTCATCGTAGGCCCCCGTTTCTCCACGCAGACCCTGCTGGTAGGATTCCCGTTGACGTCTGACCCAAAGACCCAACTGCCTGTCCATGGGAAATCGACTGGGCACATGGGCATCGCCGTAGACTTGACGGTACACTTTGAGACGGGCATATCTTCTCCACCATTTACATTCCTGAGTGCCGTCGCGTCGTGGGCGCTTGGCCAAATAGGCCGCTTCGACAGCATCTGCCGTTCGAATGTACTGCTCATCCTTGGCTTGCTTTCTCCTCAGCATGTCTTCTGTGGGTGTAAGTTGTGGCGGCACGCCGGGTTGTGACTGCGAATGATCAGGTTGGGGGCTTGTCAAATCAATCGCCGCGTCATTCGCTGTCTCTGGAGAAAGGATCCTGGCCAAAGACTGATCTGGCCTCTTGAGCTGCTCGGCCTCAGAACGCTGCACAACAAGGAGCGGCATCTTCTCTCCCGGTTTATTCTTGCTGCTGTTGCGACTTTTCCTGATGGTTTGCCTCGTCTTGGATGGGGATGAAGAAAGCAGCGACGCAACTGGTCGCTTCTTCAACGGGCTTTGCCCCTGTCGCTTCTGTTTCGGCATTTCCCTCGACCTGGCTGCTTCAGAAGATCTCGTCTCTTGCTATTTCGCTGATCTGAAGAAGGAAGTCTCCAAATATAATGAAGCAACAACATGCATCTCTCACCTTGTTGTCATGGCACATGGCAGAGAGAAGCCGGAGATTGTGGCAACCCCCGCGGGAGTCCTCCCTAAGTCTTCCACTTGAAGAGCCAAGGACTGGGTGCATTCGACCGAATGTTCCCAGCTTTCCCAGCCAACCGGCACCAGGGCGTCACTTTGGAGATACCTAGCTACGTTTAGTAGAAAAAGAGTAAGATTATATGCCAAGGAAGCTGGCGTTGTGTTGGAAGCACAGGAGTGGAAATCTTGTTTGGATTGCAACCAACGCGTGCCCGAAGCTTTGCAGCTTTGATGATTGTGCCTTGGTTTTGCCCGCTGGGTGATACCCGAGTGATCAGCTGAGGCTGAATGCAGCCGGCAGCCCGTTCGTTCAGGGGCATCCAGGGCTGTTGAATGCAGGGAAGGATCACCATCCACGAGAGTCAGATGAAGGTGGATCTATACTATTTGGGTGCCAATAAGGCACAATACTAAAGCAGCTACGGTACATGGCCTAGTCGGTCTCTTTGGCTTTGTATCCATTCACGTTTTATGTTTTAAACTACTACATGTACAATTTTTGAAAGCAGCAACGTACGAGAATCTAACACTCCATGACACCAAAGCCTGCTTTGTTCATATTCACCCACTGATCAATGGTCATAGGCTTTTCTCCAGTGATGTGCTCAATATCTCCTGTCTTCTTCTCATTGGTGACACTGCTCTCCTCATCAACCAACTTGTAGAGTTCCATGATGCCATCAACTTGCCATTCAGGGAAACCCATACCCATGAATGCTTTCTTTGCAGCCTCATAAGGGACCTGTGTCATTTTGACAGGAAAACGACGAGCCCAAGAAAAGGCAGCAGCCACATCATTCATACTGAAGGATGGAGACACCAGCTTGTATGTCTGTCCAGTGTGCTTCTCAGGAGATGCCAAGATATCAGCAGCAGCTTTTCCAGCATCCGCCACAGAGACAGGTGTGTGCTTCTTGTCGGCAGCATGAGGGACATAGAATGTATCCTGGTCTATGATCGATTGAGCATGGGCATAGTAGTTGTCCATGAAAAGTGGGAGGCGAATGATGGTGTAGCCAATGCCAATTTCCTTGGCCCTGTCTTCCAAAGGCTTGAACTGACGGCCAAAAATGGTGTCAGTCTCAGCAGTAAGAACAGACAACAAGAGAACATGCTTCACACCAGCAGCCTTGGCAGCCTCCAATCCGTTCAGACCAAGCTTGGTGCGTTCATGGTGGCCAGGGATGACCAAGAACACATGATCAAATCCCTTCAACACATTAGTTAACTGATCTTTGTCACCCATGTCAGCCTTGATGGATTCAACTCCCTCCATGGAAACCTTGGATGGGTCCCTGCTTCCTGCAAAGATCTGGAGTTTGTCCCCATGACGGGAAACCAAAGAACTCAAAGTAGATTGGCCAATGTAGCCAGTGGCTCCAACAACAATTGCCTTGGGAAGAGATATCATGATGATGATTGATTGATTGGTAGGAAGAGTGATTTTTGTTTTTGCGTTTTGATTGCTTTCGTTTTGTGATCCTTTGGAGAGGCTCACAAATGCTGGTTTTGTTGAGATGTTTCGAGCCATCGGCCGAGGACCACGAAGTCCCGCTGGCCATTCTGTCGTAGCTTTTGTACTGTGGAGATTCGCAGCTCGGTGATAATCCTTCAATTCGGCAAAGAGGACCTTCGGACTTGACATCGGCCGGTTCGGATTACAGTCCCGGACTAATTTCGTCCAGAGGAAAAGGGGAAAGATTCGTGATTCAAGTCGGTCCTCGGCGAGGAGAAACTTGTGATGCTTTTGGAACATCTTGGATCGTGGCCTCGCCTCTCAGGTCACCTCTCCACCTCTCCGAAGTCCTTGTCTCTTTTGATGTCGACTGTCACTCGACTGTGACTCACCTCGACTCGACTCACTCGACTCTGAGACTCTGAGACGTGCTTTAGGCGATACCTAAAAGCCAGTCAAGCGGATGAAACCACTTTCGAGCTGCTCTCAAATCAGTTTCGGCGAAAGATGACCGCCAAAGCCAAATTTCGCGATGGTCACCACATGCTTCTTCACTTCTCTCCCTCCTCCGCCTTCTATCCGACCGAACCAACAATAGCCACGTCTACTACTAGATACTAGCTTAGTAAGAGCCCAGTTCAGTTAGTTTGACCATGCTTCTGAGCCGCCGCAACAGCAGCAACACGGACCGACCGGACAATCTTTCGACGGCTGCCTCGAGTGACACCGGGAGCATCGCGAGTGGTAGCACTGCACCGGTTACGCCTCGTTCCAACAAATGGACATTGAGTGGCAGCATGAAGAAAAGAGCGTCATGGATCAATCGAGACAATAACAAGAACAGTGGAAATATCCCCAATCATTCCAATGATGCAGAACAAGAAGAACCCAGCGAACAGGAAAAAAACATTCTCAACACGATGCAACGGAATCATGAACAACACATTCAAGAGCTGCTGTCGCAACTGGCAGATTACGAAGGTAGAGATTCAGAGCAATCGGAACATTTGCAGCTGTTGATTGGTCAGATTGAAGACATGTCGGCACAGCTGGATGCTCGAGAACAGGAACTGACCCAAGAACGAGAGGCCCATCACAAGGCACAATTGGAAATGGAAGAATTGGCCGATTTGTGTCTCAAATCCGATGAACAGCAACACTTGTTACAGGAAGAGAATGAAAAATTGAGACTGGATTTGGAGGATCAACAATCATCATCATTGCAACCACAACCACAACAACAACAGCAGCAGGAATCCAAAGAAAAGGAGACCACCACCAACAACAACGGCAACGCCCACGAGGAGCAAGGGGTCGTCATGGGGCAGATGATGGAAATGTCCGTGCAGATTGAAGACCTGTCAGCACAGCTGGTGGCCAAAGACGTGGAGCTAACCCGAGAACGATCGGTCCATCGAAAAACACAAAAAGAAATGGAGGAAATGACCGAGTTGTTTACCAAAGCAGAGGAACAGCAGAAATACTTGGAACAAGAGAATGAACTGCTCTTGGCCCAAGTGGAACAGCTCGAGCAAACAAAAGCCGAGTCCAAAAACAATAATGAGAATAATGACCCTGCACCAGCAGTGGATGATGCCAAGCTCAAGGAGCTGGAAGAGCAGATGGCATTGGCACAACAAGATCACCAGTCCGCCGTGAAAGAACACGACAAAGTACAGGCACAAGCGCAGGAAGATCATGCCAAAGAGCTGGAAATGGTACAAGCCAGGCACGCAGAGGAACTTGAGTCACTGCAACAAGAAATTGAAGCAGTGAAGCAACAACTACTCGAAGAACAAGCCAAGGCAGCATCCGACAACGATACTGCCAACGCGGACAGTCAACATGCACTCATGATTCAAACACTTCAACAAGAACTTCAAAAGTTACGGGAAGGACATGCCACGGAAATGGACGAAATATTGGCCCAACTCGATCTGGTAGAAGAGGAACATGCACAACAACTCGACCAAACCAAACAGGAATCGCACGTTGTGGTCACAGCGTTGACCACGGAACTTACCACCAAAACACAACAATGGCAGAGCATGCAAGAGCAGCTCATGCAAACTCAACATCAGGAGCAGTCACTGGCGCAGGAACTGGAACACACGCGGAATCAGTTGCAACAGGTGGCCACCGATCTGCAAACTCTGCAACAGGATTTCAATACCAAAATTGAATCAGCACGACAACAAGCTGCCGATCAAGCTCGACAAGAAACCATTGAACAGGCGGAATTGCAGTTTGAAAATGCCAATCAAATGTACATGCAACTCAAAGATAGCTACACGGATTTGGCAGAACAAAAGGCCATCATTGACGAGGAATTGGAGCATACACAACGGGATTTGGAAGAATTGCAACATGTCACGCAAGAACAACAACAGGGATTTCAAGCACAGCTAGAACAGCTGCAACAGGGTACGTACTGCTTCTTTGTCATCGAAATATACTAGTACATGATGTGTGTTGTGTGTTTGCTAATGCCATGTGACCATTCGTATATGCATAGATTTTGACCAAGTCCAGGGGATTGCCGAGCAAGACAAGCAGCATTTCCAAGCCGAATTGGAACGATTTCAACAGGTCCACGATGGACTTGTTCAACAACTACATCAAGCACAAGAATCGCATAACATGCTGGAGAAGACATTGGCTATGCTGGTCATGGAAAAGGAGTCCATGGCAAAGGAAAATACGGAACTCAAAGGAGTGTGCGAAGAAACCATGGCATTGTTGGAAACCTACCAAGCTGGGGCAAACTAACGTAATGGGCTGGCTTTAGCTAGCATGCCATGAACATACAAGATCAGGGTTGGAAGGAAACTACTAACAACAACAGGCAGCCACCACAGTTAATTGCGGCATCTTTTCAATTCCACCATCTCACTTCCGCTTTCAGTAAGGCTGCAGGTTTCAACGGATTGGACGTTCAGCTACAACAGCCGCAACTAACTGGATCCACTTCAATAAAGGGGACTTCCGCAAACCTACTTTCCGGATACTTTCCGTACCTAGCTAGCTAGAGAAAGTTACTACCTGTATGGGTTGGAGTGGACTATGGCGAGGATGGGTTTTCAGAGGAGGAGGGCAGGATGCAAGAGTGCGAGCCGAACAGCCAAGTGAGCAGATCAACGGCACAAACCAAAGAAGGATTTTGCATCATCTCTCTCACGAGGATGCTGGCTTTGTCTGGCTGGCCAGCTACACGTAATTTTTTAGTATCCTAGCTAGCTGGAGTGTCCAGCAGCCAAACAGCGTTGCTCGTTCTATTTTGCAAAACTAAAGAGCGTCCTGAGTGATGAGTCGGTCAGGCCCACTCCTGGTCAGGTAGTTGGGAACAATTCCTGGTTTCTTGGCTGGCACAACTGCCAAGATTTTTTCTTGCCGTTTCATTCTTAGTCGGAATGACGTCCGTTCGTATGGTCATGGATCGGCGCACGGGCAATCGGTGCACCCACATAGCCCGTCACTACTACTACCGGTACTACTACAATCAAACACCAGACCCAACCCCAGGCCACAGAGATCGTATGGGACAACTCCGTGGAATGAATTCCAGTCCAGCGTGAAGGTCACCAAGGAACCATTGACCGCCAATACCTCGAGTTCTTGCGGAATCGACCCGATGAGGCGGTTCCGATCGAGAAACAACGATTCCAGTCGATCCAACCTTGCCAGTTCGGACGGGATGGTTCTGTCAAAATTGTTGATACTGAGGGAGAGGCGCGTCAACCGGGACAGCTGTCCCACTTCAGAGGGAATGGACGACTTGAGTCGGTTGCTGCTTAACGAAAGCCACGTGAGTTGGGTCAAGAAACCAATTTCGGCCGGCAATTTCCCTTCCATGGCATTGTTTTCCAGATTCAACCGTTCCAAGTTTTTCAGTCCTGACAGCGGCAATGGTGACAGAGGTCCCTCCAGTTTATTGACTCCGAGATCCACGTGCTTCAGGGACGTTAACAGCATGAACAGTTCGGGAGGCAACGTTCCCACCAGATTATTGTCGTAGAGTGACAAGCTTTCGTAGACTCCCTCATTGAGCGTAAAGTAGGTGGCGGAGCCACACGGGCCGGAAGACCCCACTCGTTGCACGTGCTGCCATCCACACTCGTGTGAGTTGGGATGGAGCCAAGATCGATTGTCGTTCCATTCGTCTCCGTTGGTGGCGTAATACACTAATTAAGTAATAATGATGACGACGAGAAACAATGAAACAAGTAGCGTGCATTAGTCGGAATGAATGATTGATTGAAGAAGTGACATGCCTGCCCCTCTATCAAGCGGTACATGTAGTCTACTAACCTGTGGCCAAGGCAAATCGTTGTATGACTCTCCACTCGGGATACGCACTGTGACCATCCACCACAAATTGCAGTGCTTTGGCTTGCGGAGAATTGCTGTCGGCATCAATTCGGAGCCGCGTTTCCATGGGAAGACTATTCATGATTTCCATGCGTCTGACCGAGGTGGGTGCCTGAGACGGAGACAGGGTGGGAGCATTGGATATGGAAGGACTCATGGAGGGAACGCTGGACTTGCTTGGGGCGTTGGATGGTTGTGGTGTTGGGGGCGCGGAGGGTTGACTGGAAATGGATGGGAAAGAGGTTTTAGGTGTTGTGGGAACCATTGGTTGTGTAGGCGCGGGACGCTGTTTTGGCCTTGTAGTAATAATAGTAGTCTCTTGATTATTATTTTCAGTGATACCCAGTGCCACGGACATGCTCACCACGAGAATCAGAAGGATAAGAGTGGTAACACCAATACAAATCACGTGCCACCGTTCCAGATCTTGCAGCAGCGAATATTTCTTCCACCATTCATCATTGGGAGGCAGGGGTTGTTCGTCTGGCAGTGCGTCCTCCAGATGATCGTCATCTCCAATATTTCCTTCTGACGTAGTTGGTGGCGGCGGAGGCGCTAAGACAACAACATTCGCTTCTTGTACAGGTTGCGGGAAGGCTCCTGGCTGCGGACCATTGGGATCATAGCCTGGCTTGGAGGTATTTCGAAACACGTGGCGATCCTGTTCTGCGGCGTAGCGAGGCTGAGCCATGGCGGTGGGAGGAGAGTCATTGTCGTTTGGGGCCCTTGCCATGGACTGCAGCTGTGCTCCCAATGTGGCGGCGTCTTGTAGTGATGCTCGTCCACGCTGAAGCTGGAGCTGCAAGAGAGCGCTGTCCTTTTCATTGCTTACTGTTGTCATGGTTGCATGCATTGATCTTTTGTTGAAGATAGAGTGCCCCCTCCGTGCCCTTCAAAAGCAAACGAGCGAAAGATCACGTGGGAAAATAAATGATGACCATCCGTGATACCCCGTCACCCCGTCGTTATCGGATCTTGCAGAACGATCGTTTGCAGCTTTGCTTTTGAAAGAAGGCTCGCTGGCGTCTCGGTATCTTACTGTTCTCTGCAAATACGTGAATGCGGCACTAGCTAGCTAGCTATGCATACGTACAGTAGACTAGTACTTTGTATGTGCTTTCTTGGCTGGTTGGCTCGTTCCGATCCGTGAAATTCAATCCACTGCCTCACCAACCATCGCTGGCTTCCGAGACCCAGATGTTGACGTGTCAAAGGTCAACTCAACAGACCATCCACAATCCACACACCGCCATACGGTAGCAAGCTAGCAGGAGTGCCAATGGTGTACATGCTGTACACTAGCCGAAGTCTCTGCAACAGCTCTCTACTACTCTAGCTAGGCTACGGTACTAGCAATCCAACAGCTCAGAATGTTGTTTCGACAGAACAACAATAATACCAGCAGCACTCGACGGAGACCCGAAGGACGCACTGCCTGCATAATACATGTGGAAACACACACTGTTCTGATTGTCTGTTTTGCCATTAATGTCTTTTGGTTCTACTACTTGGCCACCACAACGTCCATCAGCACTTCCTCGCTGAACCATGGATTGGAATCCGTCGTGTCTCACCAAGAATCTACTGCTACTGGCAGCAAAGACAAGAACAAGGAGCAGCCAATGTTTGCCTTTACGATGCGAGATTCGAGACGATTGGTACCGGTGGAGCCTCCCCTTGGCATTCACATTTACGACTATGTCGATATCTATAATGCCGATCAGACACTAAATGCCAAGACAGCCCTCTTTTTGGACGGTCGGTACATTGTCGAGGCACCCTGCCGCAAATTTCTCAAAAAGTATTCCCTCGAATGCTACAAGGAAAAACTCATTCAAGTCTTTGAACATGTCCTGATGAAGGAGGCACACGCCAAGACAAACTATTTCTTTTATATGGAATCTGACAATACGCTCTGTTTGCCACTGGATCAAATTCAAGAATTGGCACTGCGACAAGCACGATACTTTATTGCCACGGGCGTGGGAGCATCCGGGTGGATCATGAGACGCGATTTCATGGTGGATTTTTTGGATCGCTACAAGGCATTGGGCAATAGTATGAAGATACGAAATCCCATGGATCAATCCAATCGCATGCCCGATCTGGTCGCGTCCTGGATGCTCATGGAACAAAATCAATGGGCCGTCACCAATCGATATCTCGTGTCCCATACGATTCTCAACGGCAAGGGAGAAAATGCACTGACGCAACAACAACCGGGAAATAAAAAACATTTGCCACGATGTTTGGAACCCCATCGAGGCAAATGGGGAAAAGACAAGGACCAATTTGGCTGGGATTACTTTGATTACACCAAATGTCCGGATGCCGAAGTATATCCCTGTCATGCCGATGATGAAGTTGCCAGTACGAGACCGCCGGCAAAGATTCGGAATGATCCCGTCCCGGTTGTCATTGTTGGCAAAGATGGGAAAAAACAAACCATTTTCAATTATGGCATTCCAGTAGGGGGGGAGCAACAAAAAACGGAACCGCTAGTGAACAAGACCGATACTTCCACCAACACCAACAAAGCAGCACTCAGTCATGCTGTCAGTTTACAAGTGCAAAACACTTGACACTACTAATAACCGAAGGACTCTCGTCAGTGGTATCGGTTGAGGCGGAAAAAGTCATGTGTCGGCTCTGGTTCACATCCAAAGCAATTCTCCAACCTGGTGAGATTTTTGCTCTTCAGATGCTTTTGGAGATGAATGATCCATCACACAATCTCGGGACTGCGTGGCAGGGCAAATCAAATTCATAAACAAGATGTTCATGAAGAGATGATTGATTCTTCAAACTCGTCAAAGGAATCCCCACCAAGAAGATCTCAGTGCACATGACTGGCATTGAACCATCCCTTGAAAAAGAAGGACCCAACATAACTATTGAGTTGCAATAGTGTCTGTCTGTCTGTCTAAGTACCGGTACCATAGTCCCCCCACCGGTGTGGCACTTGCTCCCACAGACGGTCGGCCATCTGCTGTGCTGAGACAGTGGCCAAAGGCTCCTCCATGCGGCTACACCCATGTGGACCAACTTTTCGGAGAATCAAATCCGTCGTCTCGTCCCAGCGGGTTCGCAAGAGGAGATCCCCAGGTTCGAAAAAGAGCACGGGTGGAGGACTCCATACAGTCACATATTCCAGAATGTGCTGGGCAATATCGGGTGTCAAGGGCGGCAAATGATTCACAATCCAAGAATTCGAATAGCGATTTTGGTGCCACCGGTGTAACTTCTCGGCCTCTTCCAGAGAATCAAACTTCACTTGCTTGTCGTAGTCAAAACTGAGTTCCTTAGAGCCCTTCACCGTCGGGATCCAAGGCAGCGCAAGTCGTTTGGAAATCACCCATAGTTTGGATGTCACGACTTCAAAGTCTCCGAACTTATTGGAACTGTCTGGGTCAAGCACAAACTTCATCTTCCAGGGATACTTGCGGCGCCTTGACACCTTGACGCGATCTCGGGCATTCATCGAAGTATTGCTGATTGCATAGTTGTTTCCATGAAGCGCAGTAGCGCCCTGCTGCGACCGAAACTCCACGCGACCCAAATAAGACGGTGTTCCATCATTGTCCTCCACCTTTTCAAGGGTAAAGGTTCCGGGATTGGTCCGGTTCTACAGCGGAGAAACATGAATGAGGGAACGACGGCTGCTCTTAGCATGTCACCGCGAGGATGCTCTTACCTTCGAAATCCACCCAGTACAGAAAATGATCTGATACGTGCCTTCAAGGCTCTCGGGAGGCTCCGACCCAAATGTACTCTTAAAGTGGATTGCATTGGGATATTTGTAATTCATGGCGCCAAACTTGATGCCATAAGCAATTGCCATTTGTTTGGCCAATTTCCAGTTGGCATCTCTTTGCTGCTGTTCTTCTTCTTCTGGAGACAGACACTCGAGACACGAAATTTTAGCCGAAACGGGGGTGTCCATCCATCGATAAAACGAGAAACCCGAGCTTCCCATGAATTGATGACATACTTGGCATTCTCTGGGCTCCAATCCCTCGATAATTCGACTGACAATGTGCCGATCATCAATGGGCTCCCATTCACAATCAAGGCACTTCGATTTTTGATAGGATGAAAACCTATTGAGCTTGAGGTACGCATAGCAACCGTTACATCGCTTTGTGGGGATTTGGGTTTTATGCCAACACCCATTGCACAAGGGTCCCTCTTGTTTTTCACGTTCGCTCTTGGGAAAGTCGGCTAATTTGAATTGGTTACAACAACGAGAACATTGCTTGAGAACCTTCAGCTTTTCTAGGCCTTGGGCAATCTTCACACAACCATGGCATTGGGCGGCGCTTCCCTTGGCCAACTCTTCGGCACTGAAAGATTTGGTGCGATGCTTCAGGTTGAAGCAACCATGGCATTGTAGCAAGGGCCTTCCTGATGGCTTGTTTTGTTGTGTACTACCGGTACTGGGATTTTCGCCCTCGATACAACTACGGCACTTGGCTTCAGCGCCCTTTTTTCGCTGCCGAGGAGAAAACGCAGACGGATCCTTCGAGGAGTGGCACTTTGCACATTCTCGAAGTTTGGGGCCCTGGTGACTTCCATTGGTTTTACCATTGCTCTTCTTCCTTCGCTTGCTGTTGCTCTCATCAAAGGATGCCTCTTCTGTATCGGCGGCCCGTTTAGCACAGGTTTCCGCCATGGTTCTTCTTTTTTTGGCCAAAAAAGTAAGTTGTGCGGAAGCCGCTAAGGACGGAGACAATTTTAGCGCCAGCGCGGGCCAGCCTTCATTGGATCTTTCGATCTTGGATTTTCGAGGTCAACCAGAGCTCCTTCCAGTGGGTTTTATGTTTTAGATAGTCTAAATGCAAGGCTTGTGGGAGTATGGCAGGGAAGTCAGTGAGTGAGCTCAAGCCGTACCGGTAGACGAACGGCAGCTCCTGACGGTGGCTAGCAGCCCCAACATCTGAAGTTTTGGTAGCAGAAAGAAGGATGCCTTGAACCTTGGCATACTGCGTCGCTCTTAGCTAAAGGACGACGCTGAAAGGATTTTGGGGGAGGGGGGCTAGCTACGGCACAGATTGGGAAAGGCACATCCTTAGGATGGCAGCATTGTAGGAAGACTGAGAGTGGGCCTACTAGCTAGCTAGTTAGTGAAGATCCTGGAGCTTGCTGGTGTCAGACGAGGTTATACTGTACTGCCAACAGCTCCCTAGTTATTCGTTTGCTAGCACGGTCTGACGTTTCTTTGTTGCACAATGTTACACTCAGTCATGTTGCTGCCCCCCTCTTGGTACCACTTTTGGATCTCCAACACAAACTGGTGCACCCAATTGGAATAATGCTCAGGCCCCATCCGCACCGGTTCAAAAAAACGGAATATCTTGATTCCAGTCTCTCGAGCCATCTTGGTTTCAATTCTCTGACCGTCTCCCAAATCATGATTCTCATAGAGACCGTCATCGTCATCATCATTCGTCAGTGGCCAAGTGAATTCTTCCCACTTCTTCAAGTCCACTACCTGGATCATGAATCCCCCCAAGTGCGACGCCTCACTCAGATGGTATCGAAATGAGTAACGCCAACAAGATTCTGCTTCTTTTGGTACCCCAGTTTTCAAATGAGGTGGCTTTTGGCATGTTGCGTAGGTTCCTTGACACTGCCAATTCTTGTTGGTCCACTGCGGATCACAAGTTCCTTTGTTGAATGCATTTGGAGAGTAGACCACAAACTCTGATTGTGCAATGTAAGGATGCTTCTTGAGCTCCACAGTGAATTTTGTAGCATGGGCAGAAGTCCTGGCTCCAAGAGCAAACTTGGTGGAAAGGACAATCTTTTTCTTCTTGATTTGTGTCTCTGTGACTGTGTCTGCATTCCTGTCCACATAATTGTCGTCCCACAATCTTGCCTTAATCAAGCAATCTCTGTCTTGGTTCAACCCTCCGAGGGCGAATTTGAGTGATTCTGAAAAAAAACTGAACGTCTAATAACGGATTCAGACGAGATGTGCTTGAGGACTACCCACGAGCTAGGGCTCGGGTATTTCCCACAGTCAAGTCTGCTCACCGGCCACACTGGCCTCCTGAGAGGGTGCGACGCCTGTTAGCTATCTAAGGATTTGTACACTGAGGTCAGAGCCATGATTCACACAAATCACGAGCTCTTTGTTGAAGAGAGTTGGGGTTGGTAAAGAAGTTTGAGGGGGTAGGAGGGGTAAGGAAAAAGGGATGGTAGGAATGTCCGACTATCCTGTTTCCAGGGTGATTCTGGATTGGATTCCGTGGCAGCCATGACAACCTCTTTGTCAGCACGAAAACATTCGGGAACACTTTGCAGCATCCAGCCATTTTGAGCACAGGCAGCTAAAACAACGTCCTTGTCATTCTGAAGTTTCTGAGACGCATACTGAAATGTGTTCCCATCTTGGGCACATGCTTGGAGCATGAATCCCTTGTCGTGAAGCAGTTCCTCGGGAGCATACTTGAGGGCATCACGGTGTTGCGAACACGCCAACAAGACTAATTCCACATCATTCTGCAAATCCTGGGATGCATACTGGAGTGCCAGTCCATGGTTGGAGCATGCGGAAACTATAACAGCCTTATCGTTTTGAAGATCTGGTGCTGCATACTCCAGAGCATTGCCATCTTGAGAACATGCTGTCAAGACCACTTCCTTGTCTTTCTGCAGCTCATGCGACGCAAACCGAAGAGCTTTTCCATTTTGAGAACATGCCACCAACGCCAGGATTTTGTCATTTTGGAATTCTGGAGGAGCAAACCTCAGATTCAAGCCACGCCAGGGCAATCTCCTTGTTGGCCCGGCGCCGTTCGGAAGCATACTTGTAGTTGTCATTTTTTACCAGGAAATGTCTGTGTTGTTCATAGCATTTTTCCGCAATCTGCAAGAGTTGTGAAACTGACATGGTAGGAATTCCAGAGAACTCGAAATCAGATGATGGCTTCAAGTCGTTTTGAGCCTTCTTTTTGGGTGGTTCATAGCTCTTCTCTTCATCATCCGCAAAGAAACACCTCTTTTCTTCCCAACCTCCCTTCTCTGGAGTTGACTCCATGATATCCAGCTCACTAAAGCTTTCAACCCTTGCTTTGGTAGAAAGTCTCGTGCCGTCTACTTCTATCGGTACCGGTAGAAGTCTCCAACGTTGTCTCTTTGTTGCCCCGTCTGAAATTCTGCATTCTCTTATGGTACTGGTACCGGTACGTACCGGTACGGTAGCCATGTAGGGTTGGAGATAAATTTCTATTATAAATCTAGCCAGCTAAAAGGAACAATCGTGCACGCACCGCATCGGTCGAGCAGCAGGCCAGCTAGCTCGAGCTAGTACTGTAGTACCTTTGCTTCAGGTTGTGGTTCCTCCAGGAAGAAGTCTTGGTGGAGGTTCTGTCCAAGTTTTTTGGGTGTTGACCTCTAGAGGAGTTGGATCTGCCAGAGCTGGGACAGGTTTGGGCCAACTTTACAACATTAGTAGCAACGGTACGTGATTAGGAGGAAGCGTCTCGATGGAAGTTGGTTACAGTACTTGGTGGGGTGGCACCGTCGTTATCTGCCGTGAAGAGGCTTCGGGCGTCGGGGGTGGTCATGGAGTTGGACCAAATTTGGTCCTACAACGATCACTCTAGCCAGCTAGCACTCCAGTCTGAAACAAACAAGAGCCACTATTTCTTTTAATAGCTAAACTACAAATGCAGAGTGAAGATAAAAGTAACCCTTGTAAACGCAATTCTCGCTACTTGTAAGGAGAAGCAGCACAACCCCCAAGGAGCTCTCCATCTTCTTGCTCCCTTTCATGGAAAGGATTTGAGATTGAGCTCGATGGCCATCGGACGTTCCAACCTTTGCGGTCGGCATGGCTATTCTAGAGCGTCTGCTTGTGCTGAAGGGCGAATAAAAGAATGTAATGGAAATCACAAACCATTGCTCGTACTGTGTTCACGAACAAGCCAGGCAATCATGTCGCGAATGGGTTCTTTGTTGTCTTGTCACCGGCGTCTTCAAAAAGACTAGTGAGCAATCCAGATCCGAGCAAAGTCGGTTCTGCACTAGCTCCTCCGTTCGAAAGTCCGGTTGTCAAAAACGACGTAGCATTGATGCTGTTGGCTCCACCACCCACAACGTTCAATCCTAGCATCAAGTTGCCGTTTGCGTCGACCGCCGGTGTAGAAGCGGCTGCAAAAGGATTCCCAGTTTTCAACGCCTCCGGTCCTCCAAACATGTTCATCGAAGTGCCAATGGTCGGCTCAAAGCTATGATGTTGTTGTTGCTGCTGCTGAATCATGGGGTTGAACCCCTGGCCAAAAGTTGGTGGCAATCCAGCTACGAGACCTTGCTGCATGACAGGTGAAAATCCTGGTATGTTGGTCCCCATAACTGGGGGCGCCCCTGTAGGAACTCCCTGCAACGGCATTGCGGCAGTTGGAGGCATCGCAGCTACCCCAAATCCAGGAGGCGGCAACACTGGTGCCGTTGGAACGGGTGCTGGTTTGTCCACCGCCATCGCCACGGGAAAAGTGGGTGGCGCAAGGCCTCCGGGAGGAGGAGCGGTAAAAGACATGGGCGGTCCACCGACAAAGCCATCACTTTTCTGTTCCTTGTTCTCCACGGGAACATTGGCCAATGCCCGGTTCTGAAGCACCATACCCGGCACCAGCAACGCCGGACCACCGCCTTCTGGGACGCTGTAGACCAGTACGTCCCCACCATCGTCTTTTTTCTTGCCGTCCACGGGAGGTTGAGTATTGTTTTCTTCTTCCATTGGGTTTTCGTTCTGATCCACCTCGGTCATGTGTTCATCGACAGCCGCAGGTTCATCATTCCAAACATACGTTCCCTCCAATGTCCTCTCCAAGCGACGTCCAACCATACTTGTCGTGTCATTACTGGCCGCCATGCGATCTCCAAATGCCAAGACACGAGCCACTTTGACTTTGTATTCCTCGACGGTGGATGACTCCTGTTGCGTCCCCTGTGACTCCTGCGACTCTTGCTGTGTCAACTCGAGGACGTCGGCTGCCTCTTCGACAGAAGCAAATCCATCTTCGCGGCTCGATGCCCTAGGATCATGAAGAAAACCTTCAAAGGGAGAGTAGCCGACACAGCTACTGAATTCGGAGAGGCACGAGTTTTCCCAGGTTTCACCACCAACAACACTGTCCAAGCCCAACGGACCCCGTAGGTTGGTAAGAATATTCATCACCTCGATCATTTTCTGCCAGAATGATTCCACAGTCGTGTCGCAAAATTCCCGCGTTTCCGGCGAGAACGACGCCGTGTCATGCACATTAATGGGACGACTTTCCATATACTCGCACACCAACAGCAATGGCAATAACAATCGCACCGATGGAGGCGCCTTGCCGGGATTTCCCATTTTCTCGGGTTGATCCTGAATTTTGGCCAGACCGACGGCGGCACGTTCGGCCAAACAAGCTCCAAATGCCAATGTAAAGATTCGCGACAGAATTTCCGTTTCCTGGATCGTCTGCTCCGATAGTCCTTGCGGATGGTAAGCTTCGGAAAAGGCACAAATGACGACCATCTTGCAGAGTAGCGCGTCACCAAATGCCGATGCCCCCAACAGCACACCACAGGGTGTCAAGAGTGCTTGCATTTGTTTCACGACATCGTCGTCCTTGAGCGCTTCCGTATTATTATTTGGTTGCTGCTGCTCGTTATTAATACTAGCAGTACCTTGAATTCCTTGAAAAAAGCTAAAATGCAAATCGACAAACTGGGATAGAAAATGCCGACTGGCGACGGTTCGTTGTGATTTGACCATTTCACGTGCTCCACTATCGACGACAGTCGGTGTAGGCTGTTTGTGAAACCAATCTCGATTGGACTGAAAGAGTCGATTCAAATTGGCCTTGGAGATTTCGAATGGTTCATGCGTCGTCAGCAACGATCGGGCATACCAGTAGAGTGCGACGGCATTCAAAGGAGCGGCCGTGTCTTTGAGCTGTGCCACCACGGCGAGCTGATTGTATGGGTTCCCACGTCCCGGAGACAGTTTGGCGGCATTGTTGTAGTGCGTGGATGCCTTGTGGTAGTTGGATTCGTATCTATACAAGTCGCCCATGTGAATATTCATGCGAAACAATCCCGGCACCACTCCGGCTGGATTGCGCGATGGTGATGCCGCTTGCGAATCTGTTGCTAGAAATGAATTTTGTGACGACGAGTCTTGTGAATTTGGTGTCATGGTAGGATCGTGCTGCGAAGGCACTAGTTTTCCATGATACTGAGTAATGAGATACTCGTAGAGGGTAATGGCTTCTCCCAGGAAATGTTTCAAACTTTTTTCGAGTTTCGCGACATTGGGACCCTTTTTTCGTTTTTCTCTGGAAATGCGCGATCGTAGCGTTCCAATGGGTCCGTAAAAGCAGGATCTCCAGAGTCGTCCAATACAATCGTGTTGGAGTGCAAAGAGGGGATCCGTCAGAATAATGTCACTGACCACTTCGCAGAGTCTCATGCGCAACCGAGATGCTTGATCGTCGGATTTCTTGGATGGCAGTTGCTCCAACTGAGCTTCTAGATTCTCCACTTTTTTCAACTGTTCTTTCGAGTAACCAGCCGGTGACAGAGACACCTTGGCGCCTGGGCGGTGTTGCGATGACATCTTGAGTGGTGATGATGATTGTTTTGGCAAGGCGTGAGCTAGTGATGAGTGTGATTGAGAGAGACTTGGAATGAGTCTCTTTAGTACTGTAGTATTTGTGCAATTTGTTGGTGGTTCTCTAGCTAGCTACTGTAGCTATTTTGCTTGTAATACTACTGTAGTACCGGTACAGTCAGTTTTACGTTTTCCCTTGGCTTGCACCGACCAGACTGCTTGTCTTTTCAGACTATTGTGTTTGTTTGTTGCCTTACGTCAAAGCTGTATGTTTAGTGAATGCAACAAGAAGAACTGGGCTTGCGTATCTGACAGGTTCATCGGAACGATCGATCGGTTGGATGCTGCGGTCACCTTGCCTTGCTGTGTCCACCGTCGTTAGCCTTAGTTGGTGCTGCTGTGCCCACTTCGTCTTGTCTTCTTCGTTTTGTTTTGTGGGACAGCTGCTTGTTTTGTTGCGGACGGACGTTGTGGTTGCACCAAAAAAATTCAAATGGTAGAGACATTTCGAAGTTGACCGCACACTGGATCTTTCTTGCAACGCATGCGTGTTAGACCGGCGTGCTTTTGGCCCTCCGGCGCAATCCAGGCCTCGCTGCCGTCTCGCCCTTCTTTCGTCACCCACGACCTCGATCCAAATCCAGAACAACCTTCCCAACATCCATGCAAGAGGCCCTCTATCAAATTCCCACAACATCATCTTGTTGTTGTGCCATCTTGTTGTTGTGTCGCCTCTTGTGTTCCTGCTCCTCTTTCGCATCCAATTTAGCAGCTAGCTATCACTGGTAGTCGTCCCTTCTATCCTGCCTGATCAGGTTCTGAAGGCTTGCCACATCTGGCTGACTGCATCAACACTACTAGCTACTAACGAAAGATCGAGAATAGATAGATCTCGCCAAGTACGTCCGTCAATAAGCTTCATAAGATAAAATGGACTGGCAACAGAACTACGACGCCTTGAAAGAATACAATGAAAAGCACGGCACGTGGGTAGTCGATCCGAATGTGCCGGGAGACTACGATCGCCGCGGTCGACAACGATTGGGAGATTTGGCGAATTTTGTGAGTTTCAATCAGTGTCACTTGCATCACTTATCTAAGGAGAGACGTCATCTCTGGTTCCTCTTGACGGGTCAAGAAACCGACAAACCTCGTCCGCGGCGCAAAGAACCGGCCAAACCACGGTGGAATCCCAAGATGAACAAATCTAGTAGTGCGTCTAACAATAGCAATAAACAGAAAACAGCACCGGAACCTACAATCAACACCCGCCATATCGTCAATGGCCAAGAATTCAATCATCGACCCAGTTCGCAAGATTTGTATTCCCGGTATCGCGCCAAAGGAATCGGATTGAGTCAAATGCAGTGGAACAGCATGTTTGACAAATTGGTAGCGTTTCGACGCGTTCATGGACACGTCAATGTCCCGGTTCGATTCAAAATTGATCCCAAATTGGGAAAATGGGTCTCGCGACAACGAGAAGCCCGAACGACCATGATACCCGAACGACGGGATCGATTGAATGCGATTGGATTTAGTTGGACGCAACAACAAAAAAGCAAGCCCACGCTGGATATCAATAAGAATCGACGGACGTTTGACGTCTTGTGGAATTCCCGATTGGAACAGTTGCAAGTCTTTCGGACCGTCTTTGGACATTCTCTGGTCGAAACAACGCCGAATCCACAAATCTTGTTTATGGATGATGCCGAAGAATGCGACAAATTGCGGCGATGGGTCCACAAACAACGAGCGCTCGGGGGTCGTGGAGAGTTGCGACCGGAACGAAATGAACAGTTGCAATCCTTGGGATTTTGGAAGGACCGGCATTTGGATGGCACGCAAGCGTCGTCAAGAGCCAAGGAGGTATCCCCATTGGAACAAGAACTGGAGGAATATGAAGAATTGGATCCACCCATTGATGAGACGGGCTTGGCAGCGCCCGTTTCGCGAGAAGCCGTCGAAGAGCATGTCAAATTCTTTGAAATTGAAACCAACAAGAAGGAAGCCATACAAAAGATTGAGTTTCGAGCGGTGCCACCGGTGGGAAACCGATTGCCACCGTTGGAAATCCCGGCGCATGTCAAGCGACAGCAGACCATGGAATATTTCAGGCACATCAAGAAACAGAAAAATGAAGACAAGGAGGAACGGGAACGCCGCAACAGTCAATTGGTCATTCAAGAAGCACTCAAGCAACAGCAAGAGGATCTACGAAGAATGCTCAAACAACCAGATATGGAACTGGGAAATGAGGAAGGAGTACTATCGGAGGATGAAGAAAAATATATGGACGACGATGAAGAGGAGGAGGAAGAAGAAGAAGAGGTCAACTCGGACGACGAGGAAGCCAAGGCCATTGCTCAGACGGTGGCCGAACAAGTATTGCTAGAAGCTATTGAGGCATCGGAATTTGACCAACGCAAAAAGGAGGAAGAGGCTGCTCAGAGGGAAGCGGAATATGCTCGCAAACGAGCAGAAGCGGCTCGCAAACGAAAGGAAAAGGATAACGCGATCAAGGAAGCTGGAGAAAGGGATGCCGCGAAAAGACAGGCCCCTGCCGTTCCCCCCGTGGCTCCTCCAAATTCGCCTCCTCAGCCGAAAAAGAAAAAGACACGAGTTCGTCGTCCCAAACCCGTGGTGACTCCTCCAGTTCCAGCCATTGCGCAGCCTCCAACCAAGCCAGCATCCGCGGCAACCAAGCCAGTGCCGGAAGGTCCCGTCTATCACTCGCCCATCCCTTCCAAAAAGATTGAGTATTTCTTGGTGGAAAAGGAAATTCAATCCTTTGATGATGCCTTTGTCAAAATGCTAGATGCCAAGACACCGGATTGGAAACGGAAGCGACGTTGGTCCTATGTTTGCATGTGAAAAAAAGGCGCCGCCTGGTAAGGTACACTGCAGGTGCATGGGAAATCATTGGTTTCTCTGTTTGAATGGGAATGCATAATATTGTATCGTACAGAATAAGTGGGTAACTTTATAGTCAATAATATTTGTGGGTGTTGAAACTGGCAAGAACCCCTTCGTAAGATACATTTCCTTTCGTCCCAATGCACTCGGCGTCTAAATCGCCACCACTAATAAGCTCAATGCCTCTACTAGCTACGATATGCACCCTCCCCTCGAGACCACACGCAGCGCACGCCACTTGTGCGTGTTGATTGCCGAGGTTGATCTCTGCAGTCACCGATCTCCTACCGCTGGGACACGGACCTCAACTTTCATTGCCCAACTACTAGCCGATCCAACTCTAGGACCAGCAGAAAAACTTCGACAAAACTCTGCTGTCCATTCTATGGACCAACTCGGCTCCGTTGCCAAGCAACCTAACCTTGCTTTCCAACTCCTCCAGGAGCGACCATGCCCAGCACCAGATGCCTCTTTACGACTCTCAGAAGATGAAAAGATGCATTTGATACATTGTGGATGAGCCACCTTCCTTCCCTTCCCTTCCGCTTCCAGACTCATCTCGTAACACTATCCTAGACCGTTTCCAGCTCCAACTCCCCGATCGTTTTCATGGCCCCAGCCCTATGCCTGGACCTACTCCCGGCCTCTTTCTGGGACAACTCAAATCTCTGGGTGACACAGCAGAAACACCTGGATCAACACAAAGCCATACGCCAGGCCAAACCCCCGACCCTACCGTACATGCGCATCATGCCCATTCCTGTTCAACTACCGGTTTCAGCGTATCCTGCCAACTCTAGCAGGTAGCAGGGTGGAAACTGAACTATCCATCAGGCGCAGCCGTGGCCAGCTCGCTCAACTCACTACTAGCATGCTTTTGCCCCCCCGAGGAAACACTGGCACCAAGTGGCCACTACAAAACGCATGATAAAGCTAGACACTATACTTTTTACTGTTTTGAAGAAATCTTGGCGACCAAATCCTCTGCTGCATCAAATGTCGCCTTGGCGTAGTCATCCATTGTATAGACTTTGCCAGTGGCCGGGTTGAGTGTGGTCGGTTCTTCTGGAACCCAAGGGTTGCCATCCGAATGCAGATAACTACCGGAAGGCAAGGCACCCGTGTTTAGATCAGGATCCAGGCATCCACGAAGGGCTGCCCGAGCACCTTGACTCGGCGAAAACTGAAAGGGACCAAACACATTGTAGTAGATCCAAGCTCCTACACCCATGCCGGCCCCAAAGTTTGAATTGATTGATCCAGGATGCAAAGCTACAACCGCCAGCGTCGACTCTCGCTTGGCCAATTCGATGCATTCTGCCAGGACAGCCATCTTGGCACGGCCGTACTGCATGGCACTTGCCAGGGCACCTGTCGCCTTGGAATAATCTAACTTCTTCTCTTCTGTTTCCTCAAAAATCCCAGAAGGAGCGCCTCCTTCCGCAGGTGCCTCCACAAGGCGCTTTGGGTCAAAATCCTGTCCGCAACAATGAGCTAGACTGGCAACATGCACCACCCTGGGTTTATAGGTGCTTGTAGCTGCCTTGCGAAGTGCTGGAAGGAGTTTTTCAGTCAAAACATGAGGGGCCAAAAAGTTTCGCCCCGTGTTTGACTCAACACCCTCTTTGGTAACACCGTAAGTGGGATAGAAAGCACCGGCATTGTTCATGAGCACATGCAACTTGCCATCGTATTTTTCAGTGGCAATCTTGATAGCTTCCATCGCAGCTTGTGTTGCAGACTCTAGGCTGTCTAGATCATACTTGATCTCGTACATAGTGGGTGCTCCGGCCTGACGCTTTTCGGCTTCTTCTTTGATGGAAGCAACGGCTGCCTTGAGCTTCTTCTCATTTCGGCCCATAATAATGCAATCCATACCAGCCTGCAAAGCCAATTCTTCAGCCATATGGTACCCAGCTCCACCAACAGTGACACCCGTCACGATGGCTAACTTGCCCTCCACGTCATTCCTCGCCTGGGGTGCTTCGTCAAACAATTGTTTCACATAGGCTTGTGCAGGAGGTGCCTTGAAGGCATTCTGAGTGGTGAAATAGAGACCTGTGCTTCGGATCCTGTTGTATGCCTTGTTGCTCGAGGCAACGGCCAAGAGAGTGTTGATATTGCCAGCGACCATGATGAAGACAGCTACGAAGATCACAACAAGCCAACAATTGAGTGGCTTGACTTCTTGTTGGAGATAATGAGTGAGATGAAGACCTGATGAGGAGTGTTGAGTTTGAGGGGGAAGAAGACGTCTGCTCCTTGAAAGATACTTAAGGACTGTACTATTCTTTTATTTAAAGGTAATGGATTTGATGATTTAAAGGTAGAGGGAAATGGTACCGCAAGATCATTCTTCTCTGTTCTCACACCAGTAACCACACGCGCCTGTTCACGTAGCACGTATTTAAAGGTAGTGGATCTTCTGATTTAAAAGGGTAAGGAAAGTGGTACCCGTACAGAAAGATCCTTTGTGCAAATTTTTCTAACCAGACAACACTAGATCTACCGGTACCGTACTTCACAGTTCCAAGCCTCTGCCTTGGTGGTACCGGTACAGCAACAGTTCTGCTGCACTGTTTCTTCCACCCGGCAATGGATTAAATGCACCATAAAGAGTGTAACGTACCGGTACCGGTACTGTGCGACAGGAGAGGTGCTCGATTCAGTACCAAAAAAGGACGAAGCAAACAGAGGTGCTCGAATCGAATCACCAAGAAAGAGCGAAACCAACGATGTGGTTTTTCTGGGTGACGAGTCAAAAGGGGCGGGGGAGTGGCTGCTGGGAACTCAAAAGAAGCAAAGTCCAAAGTTACCGCATCGAGGGTGCGTGAGATCAGGTTTCGAAGCAGTCAACGTCGCAGATTCGCATTCTTGAGTCGAGTCGAGTCGAGTCGTTGCCTGGCTTGATCGGGAGTTGAAACCTTTACTTGAGGTGCAGGTTTGGGCAACGTGAAGTCGAGCAGATTTCCATCCAGTCTTGAAAGTGACACCTTGAATGCACACTCTTACTGGCGTTGTAGGAAGAAAACGGATGAACCAAGCTGCGGTCTGCGTCCGAGCGAGAAGAATAACCAGCAAGAGCGATGCAGAAGACGTCCCTGGTTGATTGTATAAGTAGCTTCGCCTTCTTGCTACCCAACGCCCCCCCAGTCTTGACACACCAGCAAAATTAGTTTAAAACGGAAGTTAAGCAACTGGACCTGGGCAGTGAGAGGATGATGAATCCGCAACTCTGGCCTGGTATCACCACGAATCCGAGTGTGACTGTCGCTAGCTAGAAGAGGTCGTTTTGTGCTGGTTCTGAACTCTGCACCATACCTGTACTGGTAAAACTACCGAAATTCAGCATTGGTGAAATCGAACGATGAATGATCAATCGAATCGAATCTTCGCAGAGCTCGCCATAAACCTTACCGGCATGACATGGACGAATTTGTGACGTTAAATCCTGACACGCCTTTTCTTGAACAATTCAAGGAAATAGATCTGTGACAAACATGGGACATTGAAAAGAAGCTTTGCTTCTCCCAATTTTGGGAGTTTGGGAGTGTTGGGACAGTCTAGCGCATACCCATTCTGAGCACCCCATTTGCAGGGAGTTCATGCACGTGTTCTACTTTACTATAGAATTGCCTTGGAGCTTGGGCTGACACCTAGACGTGGATAGAGCGTCCTTTCTTCTTCAAATGCGGAGGCTTAACAAAAGAATCCATTTGAGTCGGGGCTTGTGGCGACTGGCTCTTTTTAGAATAATGAGACGCTTGGCAACAAACGATAATTTGAATTCAAGCACCTCACTCGAGCAACTTCACTCTACTAGCTAGCTACTATTAATAGCTACGGTAGCCAGAGAGCTCCAAAGAGAAGACAAGAGACGATCTTTTGAAGCGCATAATTTTGTTCCTTGGAGAAAGATCGAGAGATCATCAACCCACCCAAGCTGACAACTTTCCAATTTTTGTTGGTTTAAAATAAATTAACCATGAAGCTGACCGTCGCCTTTTTTGTTGGGTTGGTTCCAGCTGCCGCCGTCGCTAGTGGTGTTCGAGGACCACCAGAGGAAGTTCTTGAGAATCGGGAGCTCCAAGGCTGCAACCTTTTAGCGCCAGACGTATTCTGCCAGGACGAAGGAGGAAACGGTGCCGTAGCCCGGTAAGTTGTCTGGTGTTGGTATTGCTCTCGGATGTCCGATTTGGTTCAGTCCTCCCCTCATGTGTGTGCTCTTTTTCCTTAGCGAGAACCTACCCTGCTACAACGACTTTCGGCAGCATTGCGAGTGCAATACACCATTCTACCAATTGAGCCTTGATGGCGAGGAGTGTGAGTTTTGCAACTGGAATACCGAAGACCAATTCTGCCGGGACGAGGGGGGCCCAGGAGCCTTTGCCGACCGTAGATTGAATTGTTGGTATGACTTTGCAGATGTAAGTCCACATGATACGACACGATCCACCCGACGAGGATCCATTTCGTGCTCCTCTCATCTATGTCTTTTTTAGCACTGCCTCTGCGGCGATGACTACCGCAAAACTAACGATGAATGCGAGGACTGTAACTTGAGGCGGATGAATGAGTTTTGCCAAGAATTCTCCAGGTACGACAGTTAGTTGCTTAGGTCGTGCGTGTCGTGCAATCTCCTGCTCACAATGGCTCCCTCGTCCCGCCCAGTGTCGCTCTTGCTCATGAGGGACGGGATTGTTATGACGACTTTGAAGAGGATTGTTACTGTCCTGGGTCCCATCGCCAAGACAGGGATGGCTGCGAACAGTGCAACCGAGACCAACCCTCTGCTTGGTGTCGTCGAGTTGGTGGGAATCGCGCCTTTCACAGGACTGACAGGGACTGTTGGAATGACTTTGACGATGATTGTCAATGCGAATTTGGGTTTCGGGTCAACAATGGGCGTTGCGAGGATTGCAATATCAACAATCGCGATGAATGGTGCCGTCGATTCCATCCTGATGCCGTGGCCATCCCTGACCGGAGCTGCTATGATGACTTTGAAGATGATTGCCAGTGCCCTGAGGGATTCATTGCAGATGACGACACCTGTGTTGTGGACTGCCACGATGAAGATCCTGATGAATTTTGCCGTGAAATAGGTGGTGCTGGGGCATTTGCTGATGAAACCCTAGACTGCTGGACAGACTTCTCGCAGCACTGCCAATGCTTTGCTAATTTCGTCATGCAAACCAACCCAGACCGATGCGAGAGGAATCCAAGTTCGAGTCGTGGCGACTCTAGTGTTCTCAAATTTGTTTTTAATGGTGCGTATTTCATATCTGCATCATGTGAGTGACCCCCCCCCCCTTCCCTCTGACGCTTCGTTGTTCCTTTATCATAGATGGTCTTCCTGCCAGCGCGCTCCCCTTGATGCGTTGCGAGGGTGATTGCGACGACGATGACGATGTAAGCGCCTGTGTTGTGTTTCGTGGCTTGGTGGCATGACGCGCCGTCTCCTCAAACTTTCTGTGCCTTGTCGTCCAGTGTGCAGGTGATATGGAATGTTGGATGAGGGATTCCTTTGAACCAGTACCGGGCTGTCTTGACGGCGAGCTGGAACCCATGGACTATGACTATTGCATCGGTGCCACCGATGCCCCCACGACCTCACCAACGGGCATGCCCACAACGCTGGCGCCCACCTTGGGATCACCAAGGCCCACAGTCCGGCCTACGCCCATGCCGACTCCAACACCTGATCCAACATCGGCGCCTCCAACGCCCAGACCCACCGAGATGACCATGCTCAGGCCAACAAATGCAGTCCCGCAGCCTCCTCTCTTCGTTGTCCCCATGCCTCCCACCGGCAGCGGTGTCACCATGTACGACGTCCGGTATGCCGGGCGATTCCAAAAGGTGCAAGAGCCAGGATGCACATTCCCGTCACCAGGGATCACTGTGGGCTGTGCTGGCTCCATGGGTATGGTTTCTACCTCTGATCCTTCCATTGTTTGTGAGCAACCCACTGTCAATGCCGACGGATCGTCTCAAGTGGTCTGTAACAATACATGTGTTGGGGAGGCCTGCGAAGACATCTTCCTGGGTAGCACTTTCAATGGGGACTTCGGGGACCTACGCCTATTTGGCGAAGTCTACTTCCAATGCATGGGACCTGCCGTGCTGGATGCGACTGGGTGGATTAGTGTGGAGTCTGTTGGTCAGGGATCCTGCGAGGCTGGTGCCCAGATCGATTCCGGCATTGGAGCTGCATTCCTTACTGCTCAACTGGGCGCCTATGGAATGATGGTGGACAACTATGTTTTCGATGATGGCCTCTTCGAATGCAACACCGAGAGTTTGTCTGTGAATCTGGGTGGGGTCTACTCGTGCACTTTCGGAAATGCTTGCTTCAATGATGCCTGCTTGTTCAATATGGAGCCCCTGAATGTCACGGCTGACATCCACCGCTTCCCAAGCCAGTTCATTCGCTCGAACGACCGTAGCGCCATCCCAGCCGTACCTGACCCCATGAGCGGCGTGTCCATCACTGGTTCCCGCACAGCTTTGTTCCAAGTGAATTCAGGCTTCTACTATGATGAAACTGCTTGCTCTGGAAACATCAATGGACTGAGGATGACTTGCCTGGATGGAACTATTGCTCTGGTCGAGAACCAAAGCAACATGGCATGCTCGGTACAAGGCACAAATAGTATCCAGTGCGATGAAGTTGCGACTGCCGTTAGCCCAAGAAATGAATACACCCGTATTCTTCGCTACGTAAGTGTTCTGCTGAATTGGGCTTGCTAGGATTGATGGGGCCCTCACTATGCTGCCTGCTACTCTCCTGACAGGAATGTACTGCCATGGATCAAGTGCCTCAAACAACCGTCGAGAACACTGGCTCGTTTATTGAGTGTACATCCCCTGAAGATCAGGAAGTGTCCTTGGAGTTGCAGGTGGGAGCTGTTTGCATGATGGGAAACATTTTGTATGATGACTTCTTCTATGAATGTGGTGAAAATAGTGCCTTGATCAGCAGAGTTGGGGAGTTCACGTGTGGAATTGGTGGTGCTGTCCCCGCAAATGCTGGGCAAGTTGCCTTTGCTGTTGCGAGTGTTGAGACCGATTTCCGCTGGGGGACCATGGGGTCAGAAATGTGCCTGACTGAGCCTTCGGGATCCACCCCTGGCATCGCTGGCTTGTTGACTTCATCAATCTCCTCCAGCACTCTCATCACCAAGAACGCGCCGATTGCCAGCAGCAAGTCCGGAAGCAACCCTGATAACGGCATGTTCTAAAGTCGCGACCGGCCTTCCGCTGCTTCGTCTCTCTCGCGTTCTTGAAAGCCGTCGTTGCAACCCCTCTGAATGGCGTTGCGGCCCCTGACCTTGCGAAAAGCGTTGCATCATATAAGTCCTCGTGGTGCTGTGCTCCCTGGTGGGCGCGTCGCGTTGCATGTTATTTACATTTTGGCACCAAACAATCAATTTTTAGTTTGTCCTTGCTCCGAGAGCCGGCAGTCAGGCAGGGTTTCCGAGAAAATACCAAACACTGACTGAAAGCCAACCAGCTAGCCAGGGCATTTTAATTTTTAAATTCAAAAGTATGAAACTAGTAGCCTTAACTTCAATCAAGTCGCTACTGTATATATGTGGTTGAGCGGGTGCAGAGCACTCAGTGCACGGAAATTCTTCGGCGCTTTTGTGCTTGTGGTTTGTGAGCCACTGCAACGTCTTCGCAGTACTGGCGCCGTTTGTTGGAAGGAGAGCCGGAAGTTCCGATTTCTGGTGGTGTCATTTGCATCAGCTTGAGAGGAGAAGGGCTCACACTTGTTGGAGCAGCTAGCTTCGTTGTGTATGTGACAGCGTCGTTCGGATGCATGCGGGCAGAGTGGATACTTGAAAACGAACCCAAAACAGGGAGCATCGTGTTGGACATTGTGAAGCCGTTCTGAACTTGAGTCTGTACCTCTGGTCCAGTGACACAAGGAGGAGTACGGTGAAAAGCAGGATCGCCCGATACGATATCCGCTGCCATCACCAGCGCGGCCAAGGGCGTTGGTGGCGTAACGACCGATGGACGTTGACCACTCAACCATTGGGAGCATTCTAACGTCTGCTGGCTCCCCGGCAACGGCAGTGAGCCCTCGGACTCTCGCTTTTCGGACAACAAGCGTGAAAAGTCGAACCCAATACTCATGAGCTTGTGCTGGCGGTGCAAACTGAGAAATCCATTGCGCCAAAGATCCCGTTGGGTTTCCAACCAACTTCGCAGACCAATATCCGCAGGCATTCCGTTGTGGCGTCCGCCAAAGCGATCATGGTATCTGCATAGCTTGGCGAATTGCTCCTGCCATTTCGATTCGAAATGCTCCTTGTCACCACGGTCAACCAAGTCCCAGTCCTTCTCAAGCTGCTCCTTCTGTCGAGCTTCCCATTCCCGTCGTTCTTTCATGATTCGTTCTTCCTTCTCCCGCTGCGCTTCGCTGGAGATCGACTCGTCGTCGTCGTCATCACTCAATTCCGCCATGGTTGGAATGAACAACTCGCCAAAGTTGTTTTGCGGAGGCAATAGTTTCTCTGTGTCACTGTTCTTCTTTGCCAAGGAGAGTTTGCTCCTGCGTCCAACCACGTTATCCAAAGAACTATCGTCCTCTGCCGCCTTGTCTTCTCCTTCTTCCTCTTGTTCTGGCGTGACAACGGAGGTCTTATCGTCGGCCATCTCGTCCGTCATCTCCTTGACTGCACCGTTCTCCTCTAGTGGCGCCACACCAATGACATCTTCTTCCGGTGTATCTTCTGGCTCCCTCGTCGTACTATCGCTGACAACTGCTGCATTCTTCCCGTCATTGCTATTACTGGCCTTGATCACCTGATCAAAGTCCAACTTGACGGCTTCTAGCAATACTTTTCGTTCCTTGGAGAGGGCATTGCGATGCCACAAGAGGCACTGCGCGCGCACCCATGCCCCCAGGAGTGGATCGGCCGTGAAAGGACGAGGAAAGCGGGTGTGTCCATGGCGACTCTTGTAGTGGACCAACTTTTCATATTGATGGACCCATTCACCCTGATCCGCCGGAACCACACGTTGATAAGTATTATCTGGAACTGTTTGTGATTGCTGTGGGCCACTGCGCGTGGACGCCTTGGTGGGCGCCTTTTTCTTGGCGTTCTTGCTGTTCTCTGGGGCTGGTTTGATCGGGCAAACCTTGGCGGCTCGGGTGGTTGGTTTGGGTGCCTTTGTAACAGTCTTTTTCTTGGCGACAGGAATCTTCTTTTTGGTAGGTCTGTTCTTGGCCACGGCCGCGGTAGCCGTTCGAGCACCGTCCTTTTTGACAGCACATGCCCGCGTGTTGCGAGTCTTGGTGGTAGTGGTGACAACAGGGACAACCTGGGGCCTCTTGAACTGCGCCTTTTCGCCCTTGGACTGAGGATAGAGATTGTTATAGTCCTTGCATCTCCATACAAAGCCAATGGCATTGAGACGGGCCTTGCGTTCCTCCGTCAAAAACTTGGCATTGTGGCCGTCACGCTGCCGAGATACCCATTTGCCCAGTGAGGGATCTTGCTTCCAGCGGACGGGAACCAGGCCTGATGGGTGGATGGATTGATAGAAAGATAATGGATAATGGTAGAAATAAGATAAGATACACAAGTGGTTAATGATGGTGATACGTCTGAGGGTATCAGCCAGAGGTTCCGTTTTTTACTTACAATCTCCAAATTTTTTGGAATAGGATTCCAGTTTGGCAAACATGATATCCCAACGTTTCTGGAACTTATCCGATTGAGACATGTTAGCATCTTCGTCCACGTCAAGAGTAACCAGAGCAGAAGCTTTGGCAGCAGAAGCCTTCCTGGTCTTGGTCATTGTTCCGGTCAGATTTTGGGGTAGCAAGCTGTCGTCCACGATAAGAAAATAGATCAATCAATGCAATAAGCTCAACACAGAGGGATAGGTAATAGTCCACAATCAGATACACAACAGTCTTCCTTGATAGTCTGCGATAAGATTCCGTAGTAGTAGCTTTCTCTCTTTCTTTTTGTTATCCAAAAGATCTCTCTCCGTTGCTTGGTTTTATGGCAGTTCGGAACAACACCACGCAAAAATAAAGAGAGTCGGAACTTGCTTTTGGTTGGCTTGATTTGCGCTCGTTCAAGGAAAGCCACAGAAACCAAAAGATACGAGAACTCAACAGCATTGGTTGGCATTGGTTTCGGTTCGTTGGCGGGCTGCCTGAGGAACGTGGATCGCAGCTGCTTAGAGTCATGGTCATCTTTCTCAGAAACTGGTCGTATCTTCCTAACAATTTAGATCTCACTACGACACGCCCTTTCCTTCTCTATGACCTAAAGCTCTAACCTTAGTGATGAAACTCCAAGCGGAACACTCACAAAGCAAAGCGGAACAAGATCCAGAAGAAAGCATGGCTCGGAACATCACTCCGCAAGCAACCGTTGCCCTCAACATTCAACATTACTTTAGGGATGAACACACATGCTCAATACAGTTTAGTTGGACTAGCTAGTTACGTACTGGGACTTTTTGATTCTGGACTCACGGTGCAGCAAAACAGGTCGGCATTCCTAGCAAAATTCTCAAATCACATGTTGCTCGTCGCTGGGGAGTATGGGCAAGACGGCCTGAGGAAAACGAATATGATATATATATATATCAAAGGGAGATCTCAGAATTGCGGCAATCGCATGAAAACCAACCTGGAGACTCGACTCGACTCGACTCGACTCGGGAGTTTTGTCCTCAAACGATGCGATGAGTACCGGTACTAACTAAGCAATGAGCTGATCAATCGCATGGTTTGTAAGCTCTGCTGGCTATGCACCGAACGATCATCGAAACTCTGGCTGATGAATCGAATCGAATCGAATCTATCCTGGGTAGCTCTTGGCTCGGAAAAACATCTGAACCGATCTGTGAGTCTGTGAGGGATGGGTGAGGCAGCGAGGGAGTGAGGGACCAAGATGGCACCTCATTGATTCATTCATATTCATACCAAGCTACCCCGCACATTGGTCTGATTCGATTCATCATTCCCAAGCCTTGCCTGCATCAACCTTGGGTTCAACATTCTAGCCTGTGTCGAATCCGCAAAAGTTGCACAGGTTGTTTCCGAAAAGTTTTAAGGTTCTGCAAAAACTAGGATGTGATGAGCCAGTAACGGAACCACCTGTGTGAATGGCAAACTAGTAGTATGAATTTGGTGTAAAGAAGCGGGGTGCCGGTACCAGTACATGTATGCGGCTAGCTAGAGTGGACTAAGGGTGTGAATTGGGAATGGACTCCAATACTTCAATCTCCTGTGTGGCACCAGCAACAAGTCTGCCTGGACGATCCGGCAATTGGGTGCCCAAGCTAATTATGAATCACGACTGAATGGCTGTAGGGTTCACAAGCAGGATTTAAGCGAGACGATCTCCTAAATAGTCTCCTAAAACCGGTGCGAGTATCCAAAACGCTCGCCTATTTTTTGGCGATTGCCTAAACGATCGCCTAATTCTTCGAGAAACAACCCGTTAAATCCTAGTAGCAGTATCCTAAATCCAGGCAGCAGCCTAAATAGTCTCCTAATACCGGAAACGGTCTCCTAAACGATCGCCTATTTTTAACCGTCGCCTAAACCGTCGCCTAAACGATCGCCTATTGGTGACGTCAGTATGACTGTTCAATCCTGAAACGATCGTCACAAATCACCATTGCCGGATCGTCCTGAGTATCCATCAGCCATCACTTACTACTTGGAGAAAGCTAGATATAAGAAAAAGGGTCCAAAGTTTTAGTAGCCTTCACTTTTTGCTATGAAAAATGCCCAAGCAGCTACCGTTACTAGCTAGAGCCAGATCTCATGCTTCTCGAGCTGCGTTAGACCGTCTAGCCATCCATCAGCCATGGCGATTGGAGGAAGGCAGGAAAAGAAGGGCGAAAGCGTTTACTAGTAGGCGCCTTCTTTGGGAGCCTTCATTTTTGGACAAAAATGCTCAAGCAGATACGTAGCTAGAGCTCACGCTTCTCGAACTGCTTTTCATACGATCTTCTTGACATCTTGCAGAACTTTCTTCACACTTTTTAGTAAGCCTACTACATCCGTCGAAGTGACACAACTAAAAGAAGTGGTCGCTTGCTTGCTTTGACATGACATCTGAAAGTAAGTTATCATACCCATCTCATTTTCTTGCAATAGTCTACTTCATCGACTTGAACACAATTTGATAACGACTCTTTTGCAAACTTGGACACGCTGACAATGACGAACTATGATACTTTTGCGACCGGTGACTCTCCAGCCACTGCCAAAGCTAAGGCGGAACAGAAGGGTCCCATGTTGGGCACTGTTTGGTGGGTGTTGACCATTCTTGTGTTTTCCTTGACAGTCGGATTGGATAAAGCGTACAATGCTCTCCATTTGGTGTTTGGATTACGTGCCTTGGTAGCAATGCTGGGCTATTTGATTATGCAAGTGGGCTTATGGCAAGCTGAATTCAAGTGGGATGAAGAAGGTTCCGCTGCATACTTGGACGCAGCCAAGAAGGATAAGGGTCTAACGCCTGAAGAGCTGGAAGCCATGGACATGGGTGACGATGTTGTCATCCCTGATGACCAGAAGCAAGCCGCCTTCCCCACTCCTTGGGGATTTCTCATTGGCTGGTGGGTTTGGGGATTGAGCTATATCTTCCCCATTGATGGGACAGCCAGCATTAAACCTACTCCCTATGGAATCATTGCCTTCGTCGTGTGCATCTATGTCAGTTTTGTTGCCAGTGTTCCCATGGCGGATGCTGTCATGCATCGAGATCCCAAGAAAAAGATGATGCTCTCCTTGCAGTTTCTGATGGGCTGGATTACCTTGGGAGTCATGTCTTCATTGGATGCGGGCGAACAGCTGGGGTCCTTCAGCAATGGCTCGGTCTGGGTCCTTTGTATGATGGGTCCCTTCACTATCATTTTGTCCCAAAAGATCCTCTTTGCAAGTCGCAAGATGGGCACACTTTGGGAAGATTCTGGAAAACCAAACTTTCATCCCATTGTCTACAACATGGGCGGCCCTTTGTTTGTTTGGGGTTGGTTCATGTTCTTTTTGGGCGTTTGTGCCATTCCTACCCTTGTATCCATGGATGATGATATCTATGCCCAGCCCGATTCCGGTCCCAAAATCCTTCCACTCTTTCTCAACTGGCGCACCTTGTTTGCTTTTGCCGGTGGATGCGCCATGGTTCCGGTGGTGCGTTTCCTTGACTATTCGCACGATGAAGACGGGCCCTGGTGTGGCGCCAACTCGGAAGGCAAGGTCTTTTCCAAATGGTGGTTGGGAACCGACGGAACATACTTTGGTCTCTTTTTGGAATCGCCCTGGCCCTTTGTCATTGCCTGGTGTGTCTTTGGCTTTTCAAGCTTCTGGACATTTGACAATCGCATTGATCCCGACGCATGGGCCATTCTCATGTTGGTGAATTGCTTCCTCCAGGCAATCGACGCTGGAATCCTCATTCAACAGAATCTTTACGCTGGTAACATGAAAGGAAAAACCATCTTCTCGGTGCCCTTTGTGATTTTGTTCCTCCTGCTGGCCATCAACATTGGACAGCATTGGGGCTGGCGCGCCCTGGCCCTCTCGTTGCCAGGAGCCGTGCTCATCGTTCTCGGGCAAAAGACAGTGTTTGGAGCTCGGAAACGTGGAGATTACACCATGCAAAATGACGGAAAAGCCAACCCGTACGACAAGGTCTTTGTCTACACCTGGGGCGAAGTGTTCTTCATGATTGGATGGATCAGTATCAGTTGGGGAGCTTCCATGCCCTAGCTACCGTAGCAAACGATCAAATGAAATATATGTATGTGTATGTGTGTGTATATGTGTTTGGGAATCAAGAAGAAAGGCGAAGAGGTCATTTGTTTGCTTGCAATTTAGCACGCAAGGAATTAAGTATGGAATTGCAATGTGTCGTGATTATACTGTAAATGCACGTACTTTATGCGTTGATCTACTAGCTCTAGAGTAGTTGAATCGGCTTGATTACCATGGTTGCTAGCTAGCAAGTAGAGTGATTGGAAGAGGTTGAGCGGTTGTATCAACGCCCACTTAGCCTTGTCCCTGTTTTGTGTAGTTGCCCGTCGTTCGGTTATCACCTCAATCAACACTCCCATCCAAACCCTCAGGCCCTCCAAATGCATTGGCTTTGAGGCTCTGCTGCTAATCTTAAAGTGCTAAGGCAAACTACGACGATATTCTCTCTCTTTTT